CGGTCCCCGAGGGAGGGCCGGTCGGTCCCCGAGGGAGGGCAGGGCCGGTCCCCGAGGGAGGGCCGGTCGGTCCCTGAGGGCAGCGCGGCCCCTCCCGTCCCCCGCAGCCCCTCCGGCCGCTCTCCCCGCGCCGTCCCCGCCGCCCCAACGGCCCCGTGCGGACACCGGCACCGGCCGTTCCCCCGGGGCTGGGGGGTTCCCTGAGGCGCCGCCGCCATCTTCGCCCCTCGACGGAGATGCGGCGGGGGCGGCCCGCGGTGCCGCTGCTGCTGCTCCTCCTGCTGCTGCTCGCGGGGCCCCGGCCCGGGGGAGCGGCCCCGAGGGACCCCAGCGAGGGTACCGGGACCCACCGGGACCCACCGCGGCCGGGGAAGGGGGAGGAGTTGGGGGGCGGGTGTGTGTGTGTGTGCGGGGGGTGTTTCCACACAGACGCGAGGAAAAACTTCGTCTGCACCTGGATTTGAAGGGGGGGGGAGTTCGTGAAGCAGCAGCAGCGGCGGCGGCGCCTCGAGACGCGTAATGTCAAATCTACGCGCGAGGGATGCACCTTAGTAAGATAGAAACACGTATTTGATACCAGCCAAGAAGTCCCGGGATCCTCCAAGGCAGCGAGGATGATTTGGGTGGGGAGGGACCTTAAAGATCATCCAGTTCCACCCCCCTGCCATGGGCAGGGACACCTTCCACTAGACCAGGTTGCTCCAGCCTGGCCTGGGACACTTCCAGGGATGGGGCAACCTCTGGGAAATGCATTCCAGGGCCTCACCACCCTCAGAGAGGGGGATTTCTTCCCAAAATCCCATCTAAAATCTGCTGGCACTTTGAACCCATTCCCCCCTGTCCTGGCACTCCAGGCCCTTGGAAATAGTCTCTCTCCACCTTTCCGGCAGGTTCCCTTCAGGCACTGGGAGGTCACAATGAGGTGACCCCAAAGCCTTCCCTTCTCCAGGCTGAACAATCCCAATTCTCCAGCCTTCCCTCATGGCAGAGCTGCTCCATCCCTCTGATCATCTTGGAGCATCTCTGGACTTGCTCCAACAGCTCCACTTCTTTCCTGTGCTGTGGGAACGCTGAAGATTGAAAAAAAAAACAAAAACAACTCAAACCAAACAAAAAAACCAACAAAACAACAAGACACCTAAAAAAATCCCCCCAAAACCCCAACCAACCAAAAACCCCAACGCAACCAACCAATAATACCCAGACCCTCCCCCCAAAAAAGCTCCGTTTTTTCCCCCTAAACCCCCTGTCCTGTTGTGTTTTGCAGAGTGTCAGCAGCAGCCGCCCCTGGCCCGGAGAGCCACGTCCTGGATCGTGGGGGGCCACGAGGCCCCGGAGGGCGCGTGGCCGTGGGTCGTGAGCCTGCAGGTCCTGCGAGGGGGCGTCCGGTTCATCCACCTCTGCGGGGGGGTCCTGCTGAGCCGCA